TGCAACATTATAACCTAAACCACACCGTAGAAGGTGATGCAGGCTAAGAAAGCAATATTTTGCTAATATGACGATGCGTAAAAATATCCAAGTCGTAAAACAGACTAAGCATTCTTTCAAAAAGAGAGAATTTATGGTTGTCAGCTAGAGAAAGAAACAGAAATGCGAGCTACGAACTGGAGATGTCAAAATCTAACAAGTAAAGTAGTTCAAATATTTGCGAATTGCTTTAACAGAATAAATTGTGACACCAGAATTAGAAGGCGCATCAAAATAGTAAAAGATGTCTTCCAAAAACTAAGCAAAGTATTATGAAATAGGAAAATGGTGAACTAACGTGTAATATTAATCCTGCTATATTTGCAGGGGAAGAGATTATTTGAAACAACAAAGATACGATATTATAGAAGGATTTTGAGAATAAATACCATGGATGGAGAATGAAATTAACAAAGACGTTTTATGGTAATAGGAACAGAAAAGTATTTAGAATCAGAAAGAGACAGTTGAAATTTCTAGGACGCATAATGGGGAAAGAAAGCTTAGAAAAACTAACAATCACAAAATATATTGAAAGGGCACAGGAAGAAGAATGGATGGTTAAACCGGCAATAGGTGGGAATATTAAGAAGTCAAATGTTGCTAAAAAGGATAGGAAGTTGTTGATAACTATGATCGCCTACATCACAAAGGGACATGGTACCTAGAAAAACAGAAATAGTTAAAAAATAGAAGGAAACTAAGGGAAGTAACTCTAGTTTTCGTTTTTTTACAAAAGCTAGAAAGATTTAGTCTGTTTTGCTATTTAAACAATAGCTTTATGTTGGGACAGAATATCAACCTGTTTCTATCTGTCATCAGAACTGTTTTCACTTGAAGCACATTTTAAATCAATGTGATTTGCTTATCTTCAAGGCTTCAACACTTTGTTAGCGGACCTTATTTTTAGTTCAAGCATCTAAAGGTCATGATGATTTTAAATTCAGAACTGCCCTTTTGCTGTACTGGTTACCCACTACGGCTAAAGAGTTTTGTCTGCCTTGCTATTAATTTATCCAATATTTAAGGAGAAAATAGAATGATTTATAATATTGCCAAGGGTATTTGAGTGAAAGTCAATATAATGAACTCGACCCGAATTCGATCTCGAATCGCCAATTTCTCATTCTGAACTTTTAATCACTGCACCACCTGCACACTCGGGAGCGGGTTACCGCTGATATTTTGACGTTTTTAGCCATTTTTTAAAAATTCGTCATTATCAAAAAACAAAAACAAAAAACAAACAAACAAACAAAAAAACCATCACCATCCAAAATAAATAGCATACATTTAAAAGAATTTAAAAGATTTAGAAAACGAAATCACGATCAAATGGGATAACTTTACTGACATACTTACATTACAAACAACATTATGTACAGGTGAAAGAGCATCTCAGATTTCGGCAGCATTTTCCCGCTGAAAAATAAGAGATTGATGCAAATAAATCTCGTTCCAATCTAAATCTGTTTATATGTGTGTAACCCAATCGTTCTAATTTCGGGGGAAATGAAGGTGATTCAACTCTGTCGTAGGAGAAAGGCTGTAAAGGTCTGAACTGGTATAACTAAAGGGTAGATCTCATTTGAACATTTGTCATGGCAATAGCGATAGATTTGTGATAATCTTGGGAAAGAGGCTGCAGACTGCGTAAATGATTTTGTACTCTATCAAGGCTAGAGACTGAAGGTTGAGTAGCTTCAGACAAGATGTGGCAGCAATGATCTATTTTTGGTCTGATCTGACTCTTCTAAAGATTTCTAAATGGATCAGGATTTTTTTTAGGAACGCAGATCTTTCTTTGCAAGATTGACCTTTCATAATTTTCTTCATCGCAGCGCCCTTGCTTTTGACCTTGTACCCTACAAAGTTAATTTTAGCAATAACTAACTGTATTGCCTGTCGGAATGTCTTGGATGAGGAGTTATCGTCGTTATATTCCGGACTATTGTCCTCATCTTTGTTGTTGTTATCACAACGTTTCGGCCTTTGTGCACCCTCAACCTACATCACGTATGCCGATGCAGGTAACCCAGAGAACTGAACCCTTTATTTAATCTACAGGGGTAGGTTGTTCTCTTTCCATTGTCCATATCTGGGGATATCTCGTGTATATTTTTTTTTATTTTAATGTTTTTCAGTTATTGCTCACTTCGTTATCACTGAGTTTAAGTACACACTGCCTAGCCTAGGGATTGAACTTACAATTATTATGTCACGAACGATAGCTTTAATCCACTAGGTTATTGCCCCATTCTATGTCCATCTATCTGTTAACTGTTGACTTAAAATCTCTTTTAATATCGTGTCTCTTCAGGACGCAGGTGATCTTGAATTTCTACAGAATTCCTTTATTTATGGTCTGTGAATCGCCATAAATTATTTTAAATAATAATGGAGTAATTTCCCGTTGCTTTCTCCACGGTCTCGAAATCAGAGTTTCATTTCTATTAGACTGGCTACCATTCAAGGCTAGAGAGACCAGTCTATTTTTTGTATTTAACCCATTGCTAGGGGAGAAGAAGTGACGGAATACTGTATTTCCCAAAAGCATCAGTGCGAAAATGAACGCAATTAACTCGGCTTGAATTTGAACTCTCTTCGTCTTTTCCACTTTCTGTGTCAATATTCGCTATACTGGGCGCGCATCCTGGACTTGAGATACATTGATATAAATAGAATAATTGATTCACTACATCTACGGAGCCTGTCTATAGGGAAAAATAAACGCTCAAAATCTGAAAAGAAATTTGGGTAAGAAATCGTCTCTACTTACTGCGGCATTGATTACCATTCTGACAATAAGCCTCACAATAGGTTGTGTAATCAATCCGACATGGATATTGAGCTAGAAAAGACAAATAGAACAAACACACACAGATGCATTAGTTATATATATATATATATATATATATAATATATATATATTTAAAAGTATGTCATAAAGTTGATGTAAAAAAATCATTTGACCACTTTCAGTGTTTAGTATAATACTTCAGGTCTTGTGAAAGACGAAAGTGAGCTTACTATATACCTACAGACTCAGATGTTAGTTAAATATTTAGTCAAGGTGTCAGTGAAGAACTTAAATATTTGGTCAAGCGTGTGGACCTTTTTGGAACCTTACTGTACACACGCACAAACATACATAAAAAAAAACACACACACGCACAAACATACATAAAAACACAAACACGCACGCATGCGCAAGCATATATCTACATTCGATCCACAAAATATCAGGGTTTGATATGGAGAATTAGATTATTATATTTAAAATAATAAAACATTTTATTAATGAAAAAATGCATTTAAAATTATCATAAGGGATTCATTTTTTATCAGATTAAAATGGTTCTTTATTGCTGCGTGTAGGCAGGTGAAAGCGATACATTTCTAAGTTTTTTTTTTCATATTAAAAACGTCTGAGAAAAAATACCAAGTTTTGCCGAAATGTTCCGAATTCCTTTGGCTTTCTTCTGCAATTCTATTAAATGATTTTCACTGATGACGTTTTTGGAGCTTCATTATTCGAATAACCGAAGCGATGAACGTTACATTTTTCATGCAAGAACAATTCCTCCAAAAGTCAAAAGTTATCTTTGGTTCAGCAACAAGATGTTCTAATTTAAATTCGTGCAAGATGATTATTTGTTTTTTTTTTCCAAAATGAAAAACACAAATTATGCGTTTTTTTATTATTTCAAGGTTTTGAAACATATTTTAGATTGCGTTAAGAATAAATAAAGTGTCGCTTTTTGAGTGAATTGAGTTTAACATCGATTTCTTGAGAATAGAAGCAAACACATGCGATTTTATTATTTCATTAAAAACTTACGGTGGGAGATTGATTTAAACGCATATAAGGGAAATATCACTATCCCGACTAAATTCGATTTCTCATGCGAGCAATTCAATTAAAAAAATAATGAAAAAACGGATCGCCAAATTTCTGTCTCTCCTAGAATAACCAGGATCATCATTTCTAGTCTATGCATATAGATATTTGACTATACTATTTCTCTATTCGGATCACTATACGGTCTTACTGTTCAGTACGAGGATTATCGAGCAAGTACTATTAGTGCAACTTTATTCGAAGGCGTCTGACACCAATTTTGTTCAACAAGACCTTACTATAGTTGGATTTCTGGTAATTTCAAAGTCGATACTACAACGAGTCATTACGAAATTTGAACCGAGTTTTTTGGGGAATATCAGAATATCCTTAACCCTTTCTTGGATAACAAGGTTTTTCCAAGATACAATTTTTACAATTTAAAAGTAATGTAAACCTTTTAACGGATCGTTAATAATTTTATTAAAATATACAAATCTGTTTGAAGAATTTAACATTATGCTCTTTTTAAATGAAAATTACTTGACACCAAAAACACTGCTAAAAATTGGGTAATCTAAACAAACTGGTTATCATAACCTTGATCTTTCCTGAAATTTGATGGTTTTTATAATGTGTATTTAAAACACAGGCATTTTTAAAATTCAAACTGGTAAATTTGAATAAGGATGAAACCGTTAATGATAAATATTTATACGAATAAATGCTTAATTCCCAGTTTTAGATAAAGAAAAAAATTTGAAACGTCGAGTTAGAACTGTTTAAACCAAAAAATATATTTTGGAAATCAATTAATTTATAATAAATATATATATATATAAACTATATATATTTATTGTCGAAAATTTGAATTTTCTGAATTTCACTGTGGCCAAGAGACAAAATAAAATGAACTTACATGTGCGACATGTGTTCTTCAATGTGCAAATTTCTTTACAGTATTCATCTGTTGGGACAAGACCGCATTCGCCTGTAAAGGCAAGTAGAGCAAAAAGGAATTATTACACTGATATATGTGTGTGTGTGTGTGTGTGTGTGTGTGTGTGTGTGTGTGTGTGTGTGTGTGTGTGTGTGTGTGTGTGTGTAAAAACCGGCTTATGAACATATCATGTTGAAACAGCGCTTCTTGTACGATCACCGAAGTTAAGCAACGTCGTGCCTGATCAGTACCTTAATTGGTAACCGCTTGGGAATACCAGTATGTCTGGTTTGTGTAATGGATAACGGCTCGAAATTGAAATCGAAGAACTAATCTCCAATTACTGTCGGGTTCTTTATATTCAATTACATTCAAATACCCTTGGGAGAAGTATGGATCCACCCCTTCTCATCAAATCTATGGGTTAATTCGTAGAATTTCTATCAGTAAAAATCATAGTTATCTCCAAAAATTTTACAGTCTAAAAATATTTATATATAAATAACCTGTTGTTGTGATGTGTATAAATGTGTGTGTGTGTGTGTGTGTGTCTTGAATAAAATTCATTCAGTATATTGCTGATTAACGCTGAGACTGTAAAAGAAACAATAGAAACAATGGTTTGAGTGAAAATGGCTGTAATCAAATTAAGAACATGTATTGAAAATACAGTCGTTCAGTATGATTGAAACTTTTACTCCTCCTTTGCAACCCACTTTTTTTTTTATTCCATGAGCAAACGTTCCACTCAAAGCAGATGGAAGAGTCTATATTTCAATGATAGTGTAGAGAAGGTTAGAAAATCTTTCTGCACAAAACACATTTTCATTTTAAGACATATATATTTACCAAAACCATTTGAAAACATCTTGAAACGTCAGAACGCTAAATTTATTCAATTTAAACTCGATCATTGGTCAAACAACGCTCCTCTCAAACTATTTGAAAACGAATCGCATGGTCACTAATACCCTACCATTTGAACCCAAATTCAGTTCACCTTTGGTGTTACAACCAGGATTTTGTTGTTCTCTACCCTCACCCATAAAATTTGAAGGGTGACTTCAGTCTGGGGCTAACCAGGTAACCCATTTGAACCCGGGTCGAAAGCCGGAACATCGAAATTTTAACCCAGCACATGGTGAAAACAACTATTTAAATGGTAATCTTTTTTTTTTTTTTTTCCTGTTCAGACGCTATAGTCCACAGGAAATAATTCAATAACTGTCTATATTTACGTACCACTGGATTCAAAAAGATTGACCATTTTGTATTCACCGCAGCATTTCAAACTGAAATATATAAAGTTATAACGAAAGCTTCATATAATATGACGTTTTTCTTATAGAATGAGTCTTAAGGTCTCACAGGTTTAGTTAGTTCTTAAGATTATTCTAAAACGTGTATTGAATAAGAATAAAAATCAAAAATATTCCTTAGCACTTTTTGGATTGGTTTGTTTACTTTACAGATTTACTAATTAACGCAAAATGCTTCGCTTGAAAAGTCTTTTCCAAATCCACTCTCGACTCATAAGGTTTTAACCAGATTCTACCCGGAAAACGGAAGCTCTACTAAGTGATATGTACATAACACCGTCCCGGGTTCCTGCTATTCTCTTCAAACTAGAACCCCACTAGGCACGCACGTAGACTTTACGTTATCCTTGCAGTTACTCTGTAGAAATGGACTCCTGAATTGGGTCTTAATCAAAACAATTGGCATAAATGTCTTAATGTTTTTTGCTGTTTCCATTTTAACTTTGAACAATGAAATCTGGTTCATTGTTGTTAATGAATTATAATGAACTTGTGACCGGCTTATAGAACATATCATGACGAAACAGCGCTTCCAGGGTCCGACCACCGAAGTTTACTCAAAGACTTGGGTTAACCTTAATTGGTTTTCAGGCCCTCCAAATGTCTGGCATGCTAATGGATAACGGCTCCAGACTTGAAAACATCTGAACTAATCAACAATTCCTGACGAGTTCTTCATATTAAATTATATATATATATATATATATATATATATATATATATATATATATATCAAATATATCGTTATATCAATATATCGTTCAGTAAAAATATAGTTATCTCCAAAAATTTTTTGTTATTAAAAAATATTTTCCCCCCTTTTTTAACTTGTTGGTTGTCGTTAAAATTCTTTTCGTTGATCAATGATTGTCAGAAGCAGGTGTGATGTTGGCTTGAAAGGGCCTCATTCACTTTTTGCAAGAGAAATTCCAAACAATTCCTTGTTTTTTTTAAAACTATATAACTAAATTTTGAACTCTGCGTCAAGATTATATATATATATATATATATATATAAAAGTGTGTGTGTGTGTAATGTGTGAGTGTGTGTTTGAACATGTGTTCGGTAAATGAAAAAAGAGGCATTGATAAAGAAACATTTCAAATAATTTTGGCGGAAAAGATTTGACACTTGTTTTATCTGAACTTCAACCGATTTAATGGTCATTTTCATCTTAAATTTAGTTTTCTTGGTCCAAACGACTCGTCGAATAATTTGTTCTTCCCTCGACGAAGAAAATTTTATCATCATTTTCAAGATCAAAATCATTTTTATTCATTCTTTTTTTTTTAAAATTTTGCCCGTAGTTAGGTCCCCAACACGTAACACTTTATTCATGATGACTTTTTCAGCATATCAGTTTAACTGAATACTTTTTTTAGACCTAGGAAAACGTTGTTCACAGGCTGTTGGATATTTTGGTAACAGGTAGCAGCATTTTTTTTTTTTTTATCGAGACACCATCTGTAGATAGATTTTCCACTAGAGCTAAAGAAAATATATCTGTCTATTAGGTGAGGACTTTGCGATTTTGTGCTAGTAAAAACCCTCGACAGCTTTCGAATTGGTTTGTTCTACCAAATTTCACTCACGCTTAGGTCAACCTGAACAACCACTACGAGGCAGAGACATTTGGGAACAAAAGCCTTAAACCGATATTATCAAGCTCCTCTCCTTCGTCCCAAAAAGAGGTCGCCGCTGAATTTATTGTCATAAGGCATACGTTAACCATATTGACCCAGATGTTAATATATGTACAACGTTAACCCTGAAACCATTCATCGATCAGTGATAATATTTGGGGCTAACGTTCTAAACATTTGAACCCGATATTTTAAAACCTCAAGTCGAGGCACTAACGCGATTTAGCCATTTGATGTAACATAAAACCAGATTATTTTAAACTAAAGGTAAAACCCATAAAAGACATCGAAAAAAATTTTCTAAATAACATTCTCGCGGCACATACCAAAGTATTCAATCCAGTAGAGGATTGAACATTTTTCTCCGGTTTTGCGCATTACATTTCAAAGTGCCAAATATATAAAGTTATAGTCTGATAGTTTCTATAATATGACAACATTTTCTTAATACCGTCTAACTTAGGATATAAGAGAGGAATTGATTACATAACCGATTTGTCGTAAAACGTGACTCCCAAAATTTTTTGATTTTTCATAAATGGTCAGTTTATATTGTTGTGGCACACCATATGGATATCCCAATATATATAAAATATATATATATATATAACTAATATGTAGTATGTAAGTGTGTGTGTGTGTGTGTGTGTCGAAAATTAGAAATGTGTGTGAAAATAAGTAATTGAATATTTATTAATTTATTTTAATATAATTATGGTTTTATGAGAATTTGCTATATTTACTGTATTTTGTCTATATGTTTTTTTACATATATAAATATCTGTTAAATATATTGATCCAGATTTTTTTTAAATAAATTCCACCATTTATTTAAAGAATATAATTTTATACCTATACCTCTATATTAAAAAAAAAAAAATTATTCCTTTATATAAAAAAGTACGGTTTAAATATAATATTTAAATTATTTATTTTAAATTTTCAATCAAATAGAAAAAATGAATTGAGCTATAATATGATAAAAAAGATGTATATTTATTATGAATATATAATTTATATATCTGTTGAATTTTTATTGTGAGATCTATTTTATTAATACAGTATACAATGTGCGATATATATATATATATATATATATATATATATATATATATATATATATATTATCAATATATATGTATATTAAAATATATATATTTTGTATAATATATCAATATTTGATATGTAGATTAATATATATATATTTTTGTATATACACATTTGGATATGTAAATTATTATATATATATATATATATATATATATATATATATATATATATATATAGAATATTATCAATACATATATATAAAATTAAATAAATCCTAAAGAGTAATGGAATATATATATATATATATATATATATATATATATATATATATAATAATATATTTTTGTTTGAATTAGGATAATTTTAAAAGGATATAGATCCAGGAGAGCTCAATGTCCAAACGAGAGTATTTATATATGTAAATACATGTATATATATATTAACGAACTTATTTAAAGAGCATGGTAATATTATATTTTATTAAGAAATTAAAATCGATTATTCCCTTATCATTAAAGACCGAAATATCACGCAATTATTTATGTGTCAGTTTTCAATCAGTCTGAAGAGTTGAGATCGGTGAAAAAAAGATTTTAATTAAATAAATATCATTTATAGTCTTTAAGAGTTCGTTTTATTTTATTAACAATAATAATGTGTGATATATATATATATATATATATATATATATAACACAAACAATATATATGTATATATATAAGCAAACAAAAGAAAATACTTACTTCCTTTACAGTCACTATCTGTATAACATTCTTGTTGACACCTGGGCCAAAATGGTGGAAACCATCGTGGAAATGGGAATATCCAAGGACTATGAAAGTTAACTAAGTCATTAGCTTTCGAATCAGACTTCTTCTTTAATGGACGCGGTCCCAGACCCCACCTTCTGTCTACTGGCGGGCAGTGTCCATTTTTAGCTGGAAATAAAAGAACAGTAATTAGAGTACATTGCATTTCGCATTAGTTAGTACAAATTTATGTCTATACACAAAAGATACACATACTAGACTCCAATGATTTATTCGCCGAATGTTGGTAACATCTTTCTGTGCAATTATGAAAAAAGTTAATATGTTCTGCGCAGTCGTTTACCTGAATTTTGAAGTTTCTCATTAATATGTTGTTTGTTCGGAGCTTTAAATAAGTTATGAGGTTGATTTAACATTCAAAAAGAAATCTTAAATCACGCCAGAGCTTGCAACTCTAAAAAATACATAAAATCGGCAGGTAACACTAAACTGCAAAGT